TGAATGAAGTGCAAGTTTGCAGTCCATACCTCCCTGAAAATGCTATTGGAGGTACTCCAGTTGTCATTAAATGAGTGAAGAAAGTGGCAAGGCATATTGACCATGACTGAAACTGAATTTATTTAATGTTGATCTAAGTTTTGATAAGAATATTTATCTTTTCTTTATTTCATTTTTATTTTTATCAGTTTGTAGCTCTAGTTAGAAACGAAGAGGCTGCAATCCCGTGGTCAAAACTAGTGATTTTATCTATTTATATACCCATTGTCTGCTGCTAGTGGGAGTAATAAGGCACATTGTTGTCCATTGACATGGTCATTGGCCTTGAGGTACATACATCCCATTGGCAAAACAAAAGTGCATTCGATGGGTCAATCAGTGGGACTGACACCACTTTAACATTCTTCCACTTCAAAAATATCTCTTTTTAGTGTGAAAAACACTCTATAGAACAATTGCCAATTATCATCATTATTGTTGGAAAATGGGGTCACTGTAACTTTGGAGGAGAACCTCTGAGGTGCGTCTGAAGACACTGTCTTTAGAACGTTATTTGCCCCCATTCAGTTTCATTGAGTTTGCTGCTGGGTTATAAGTAAATCCATTCCCAGGATACAACAGAGTTGTGCGAGAATCTGCAACCAGCAAATTTGAAGAATCTCCGAAGAAAATTTCTGTGAGACTGTAGCAGACCGGACTGAGAGAGAGAGAGAGTGAGTGAATTTCGAAATTGTGTGTTTTTGGGGTCTGATTCATGCTCCTTAAATAAGTTATGAAGAGGTATGAAGAAAAGGTAGGTGCTGGTTCAGAGAAGGCACCTTGAACAGTTGATGACTGTTAATGACTGTTAATTTTGAATTGCATCTTGATCACACCCGATCGAATTGTGACCGTTGATCTCATCAACGGTGATCAACGGTCAGCATTGCACCAAAACCAAAGCCGCCCTTCGCAAACCACGCTGGTGCGAGCAAAGTGCATGCGCATTGCGCGGTATCAAACCCCCCATACTCTCCTCTACTATTTCTAAGGAGTGTAAATCAGCTCCTATTAAAATACTGAAAACAAAGCTTATAATTTTCCAATGTGAGACAAGTTCAAAACTAGGTTTTGTAAGAAAAAAGCTAATTTTTCAATCAAGTGTGCAAGTGCAATTTCTCATGTAATTGACCAATCAAACCCATTGGATTTAATCTCTTGTGAGATTAAAATCCAACAATCATTAAGTGACTTCAAGCCCAAGAGAAGATTTGCACAAGATAAGTTTCTCTTTCATCACAAGTTTCATTAGTATATCTATAACGTTGTCATTGGTATGGATCTTCTTTAACGAGATCTGCCCATCTTCAACTACTTCACCAAAAAAGTGGTATTGCACATCAATGTGCTTAGTTCGTGCATAGAATATTGGATTTTGTGCTAAGTGTAATGCACTTTGACTATCATAGTGAATTGTCACCAATTTTTGGTTCATGTTGAGCTCTTCAAGCAACCTCTTCAACCAAAAACCTTCATTACATACTTGTATAGCGGATATATATGCTGCTTCTATTGTAGACAAAGCCACTATAAACTGCAACTTCAGTGTCCAACTCACTGCACCATCAATTAAAGAGAACACATTAGTTAGTAGTTGATTTTTTGTTATCGTGATCTCCTACATAGTGTACATCTACATAACCAATTAACTTCAAGCTTTAAACACTATAACAAATAAAAGCCTCAGAAGTACCCTTCAAGTAACAAAGGATCCTCTTTACCGCAATCCAATGATCTCTCCCTTGATTTTTCATGAACTTAATAGCTGCTCCCATAGCTTTTACAATGTTTGATTTGTGCACACCTATTGGACTTTCACAAACTTCTTGATATAAACAAGACTCATGCTCTTCTATAATGCAAGCATAAGTTATTACATAACCCTAAAGCCATACAGGAGGGCTTGTAGCTCTCCCAAGTTGACCTTGATCTTCATGAGTCTCACTCTCAAGAGTTTTAGCATGCCCTTCATTAGTTTCGGCAACTTCATCAACTTGTTGCTCTTAAATCTTTTGAAAAGATTTCACTTCAACATTCTCTATTATCTCCAATTTTAAATACATACTTTTTGAATTGAATCTTTATTAAAGGCAACATTTCAGTTAATAACTATATTGTGGTTAGGAAGATCCCACAATCTATATCCCTTTATTCTTTCTACATACCCAAGAAAAATACACATTTTGAACCTTATATGTAATTTGATCCTATGAATAAATTAATATTTCCTATATTTAATTGTCAACTTGCATGTGAATCATGTGACAATTATGTGCCATTTTGCTACTCTGTAAAGAAAGTTACATCCAAGAAAATAATTCCATTTTTCCCACTTCTCATTGTGATGGTAGCATTGTTTTTGTTTGCTTTTTATCAGTTTTCTAAGGCATGCACGTTCAATGTGAATGTGGAGGGTGGATTGCTTCACGAGGCTTTTGGGACCCAAGTCATTAATCTATGGTTTAGAACCATCTCCTCATCAATTGATTCAAATCAAATTGATTCTTTCATCTTCTTTTGTCCATAAGCTTCCGTCATTTTCTCAGCAATAAAAAATGTTGAATATTTAACAGGGGGCATCATATTAGGATACGTTTAGGATGTAATATCCCATCTGACACCAATCCAATGGTCAAAGGCTTCCCGGTTGAATGACAAGACAGTTCCTTGAATTTGTAAGTGTCTCATCAATTTATCATAATTGATATAAGGGTAAAAGACAAAAACTTCCCCAAAAGTTTTGAGAATAAGAAAGACCTTCTTTAGTTTCATTTTAATAAGTACCTCTCCCAAAACTTTTAAAAAAATCTAACAAAATCTTTAAAATAAGACGGAAAATATACAAAGTTACGAAATTATCTCTGACAATTGTCATTTAAAATATTTTTAAAAATCAAAATTATCCTCATTCGAACAACAATACATTCACCATTTTTTATATTCTTTTCCAAATCAAAAGAAAATATATGGTTGTGACTGGGGAAATGCAAAGAAGTCAAAAAGGAGCTGAGCAGCTTGGCAATAAATAAGGGGATCCCGGAGGGCATTGGATTTCGGCGGTTGAAGCCTATTTTCAGGTGGCCGGCGTAACAGGCACAAAGACTACTAAAGGAGTGTTTCTAACATATTTGAGGAGCTACAAGTCAGCACTGTAGCTGCAGTGAGGGTACTCCGCTGGAGTGCCGTCTTCCAGTTGCAGCAACGTCCCAAAGTGACTGAAATTTTCTTTATTCAGTATACCATGGAGTGTTGTGGAGAAAAAACGATTGATTTCAATGACTGAAGAAATTAAAGTAACGACGATAATAGAGATAGAAGACCAAAGTGAGAGAGAACTGAGAGTGTCGTCTTCCAGCTGCAACGATGTCCCAAAGCAGTTGATAGAGCGAGTATATTCTAATATTCTATGCAAGATTATGCAACCTTTATTAGGGTTTGGAATGCGTCTATCGAACAAAGAAAAAGGTGGGGAACAGAAACAGACAATCAGATGAGTGAGATTTCTTTCTTTTATTTTGATATTCGATGAGATTTATTTCTTGTATAGACAATCAGATGCAGGATTATGCAACATTTGGTCTCCTTTCATCTGCTTCTCTTTTGGCTTCTTCTCTACTGCTTCGATTTCTACTAATTTTCAATGCCATGTTGTGTCATTAACTACTACATTCTTCTTCGTCTCTTAACTTACAATTCGGGATCAACCATTGCTTTTTCCTTCTTTCTCCAACCCCGGATATTCTCTTAGCCAGCTGAAACAACCAGAGCATAACGTTTAAACTGAGTCGATGGGGTTTAGGGATGGGAGATTGATGTCACAATAAAATTGCATGTAAAATAATTTATACAAGGGCAGAGTGGGTATTTCGAAATTTTGATGCATCAGTCTTAAGAGGAGGATTTTGTTGGATTTTTTAAAAATTAAGAGGAAGTATTTATTAAAATGAAACTGAAGGAAAGGTTTTAATTATTATCAGGAACTTTACGGGGGGAGACTTTTGTATTTTACCCTTGATATAACTTATAAGATCCATGAATCAACTCATCGTGCAAGCAAGATACCCAGATTATTCATAAAAATGTGTGCTTTCGCTCTTACCTTAATTTGAGTCGTACATGTACGTAGTTTTAATTTTCCATCAAAATCAGCCACAGCGTCCATGTTTCATGGAGACTGGATCTGCTCCTCACACTTAGCGCCTCACAGGCGTTACACGCACATCCTATCATTTATTGGTAACATCTCCCATTTTTATTAGTTATTATTCACGAAAAATGTTTCCAATACACTGTACATGTGAAGCACTCGTTTGTGAGGAGCAGATCCCATCGTCACTGTTTCAAGGCAAGGTTTACTCTTTGAGATAGAGATCATTAGGAAGGATTCCGATCGACGGTGAATGCACGCGCAACTCTCAAATTGAATCTGAGTGGTGCCTCCACCTGAATGATGATTCCAATACTGTGGCCATGATGCGTATATTTGTGTTGGGCCCCCATAGACCACCCTAGTGGCTAGTGCTTCCCTTGACATGATTGTGGAATAGGGTTACTAATGGGAGGTTGGGTCAAAATGTAATAAAATGCATCTTTGTCCTCCAAAAACTTGAATTAAAATGTAAAATCTCTTCCAACCCCCAAAATTAAAAAAAAAAAAATTGTTCATTTTTTCTTTAAAAAATGTGTAATTGATTCAAACCTTCTCATATCATTTTTCCCTATACCCTATTTCTTCTGCTCTCTATCTCATCATTTTCTTGTTCAACTCAACCCCCCTCCAAAAAAAAAAAAGAAAACTCCTGGCTCTGCCACTGGTAGTAGGTAACAGCTCTCAGGCATCCATCCAAGTGACAAAAAATCAACTCTTTACTAGAACAACAGAAAGAAACAAAAGGTAATCTAATCTGAGTTTAAGAAATAATAGAATTATTGAACAATAAAGGAAGAAGTGAACAGATTATTCAGAAAGACGACAGAAAAGCAACCAAGCTGTCTAGAGACTGGCTGGAAGAACCTCCATTCCCAAGACTGAGGTCTACTTGCTCTTTTAATTTCAAAGCCCTCATCCTCATCTCCTCCCCTTCTTTGCTCACCATCAATCTTCTTATGCCACTCTCTATTGCTCCTCTATCCAATCCTTTCTCCAATTGGATCCCTACCCTCCATACATGGCTCACGTATCTTGCATTCCCCATCTGATCTCGAAAACAAGGCCGACAGAGCATTGGGACCCCTTCACATATACTCTCCAAGGTCGAATTCCACCCATTATGGGTCCAGAACCCACCCAGTGCAGGATGGGCCAGAACTTCTTGTTGGGGAGCCCATTTGACAATGCAACATCTTCCACTTACCGTCTCTAGGAAATCGTGGGGTAGTGCATCTATCCTTTTTGAACCACGGACTGACCCAGGCCGAACCACCCACAAGAAGGGACAGTTGCTGTTGGCTAATCCCCAAGCAATCTCCATAAATTCCGATTCACTCATGGCAGCTATGCTCCCATAGCTCACATAGATGACGGACATAGGTGCTTGTGCATCTATCCAAGCAATGCAACCACGGTCCTGTGTCAATAAGCTACTTGAAGAGGATAGACATGGACAGACTTTCTGGAAAGGGCCTATTGGAAACATCGGAATCCCAAATTCTTGTCGGAGTGCAGCCAGTGATGAGTGTTCGAGGTGTTCAAAGGAGTTCCAGATGATGCCTGAAGAAGCCTTCGTTTGATTGACCATGGCATCCACCAATTCATACACTTGCTCAGGGTTTTGCGTTTCAATGATAGAGATATCCTTGACCTTGAGAGGTGGAAGATTTGGCAACGGTGCCTCCAGCTGTTCAGAATCTGAGAAACAAAATTAAAATGGTGAAGTCGGTACCAAGGAGGAGGTTAGTACAGCCTACATTAAGGGTGTTTGGATTGATTGAAGATAAGACACAAACAGTAATTTCATCAAAATTATTTAAGAACTTCCCCTGCTAATTAATAGTTAAACTATCTATTGCTCTTATTTTTTATCAAACCTGCCTGAAACAGCCCAAAGTGATGTCTGTTGTCATGTACTCATGTGTATTGTTCAACCATGATGCCGGAAAGTGAAAACTGAAAATCAGATGGTTATTTATTAAATTCACGGGAGGGTTTTGATTGGTCAAAGTCATTTTGATAACATGTCTTTCCGGCATCATTAGATATCATAGACCGAACGATTCAAGGCTCCAAATCCTCTACTGGCATGTGAGAAGAGGATACTCTACTGATCCAAATTCAGTTGCTAATAGGTAAAAGGCATCATCATTAATTAATACCGGAAAGGCGGAAAGACAGATGCCCTCTGCCACCAAGTATTGATGAATAACCACTTAATGAATTTGCATGATATCATTGGGCCAGTAGAGGATTTGGTGTTGAATCATAAAGTAATATATTAAATTCATGAGAATTTGCAGTAGTTTGGATTGGTCAAACCCTCAAGCATGACAGTGGGTGAATATGCTACCAGAAGATTTCATATTTGAGGGTTTAATAAATCAAAATATGGATTAGTGCACGCCTTATTATCGAATTTAGATTAGCTGAACCCTTTGGCAGTTTAGCAGGCTGTGAAATCAATGATAAATTCATGGACCACATTGTGAAAGGTGTGGGTCTATGTATTCCACAGTCCACTAGGGATTCATGCGAGAGTTCAGATTTCATAAGTAGTCCATAATCCCTACACTTTTTTTGTACATTTCCATTAGGTTTTGTGACAAATGTTCATCATGTGTGCAAGGTAATCAGATATTTGTAAGAGAACACCTGAGTGTAGGTGAAAAGAACAAATTAATGCCCCGTTTGGTTCATGGGAATAGGGGTTTGGAATCGGAATCGGAATAGGTATTCCGATTGCAACTGTTTGGTTGGGCGGACTCGGAATCTTATTTCCATTCCTGCTGAAATGGCATTCCCCCATTTGAGGGAATGGCCATTCCTTGCCCCTCTCTTGGGAGTAAAATCCCATTCCTAATGATTTTAATTTTCATTCTCATTCCTGTATGAACCAAAATGAACCATTCTGATTCCGATTCCGATTCTAATACCGACTGCAAATCAAACATACCCTAACATGTATAGTAGGAGATCTGGAGTCATCTTAAATTTATGTTTATTATACCTTTTCAGAATTCAGACTAACTATAAGGCTCAGTTTGAAAAGAGTATAAATACAAATATGTATAGTACAAATACATACAATAGACAAGGTTTTGCACTCTGATATTTATATTTGTACTCCTTCCAAACTGAGCCTAAATGTGTTATAAATTTTCTATTCTAGTAACTCAGTTTATGCATTAAGCTGTGAATTCCTGTTAAGGGTGATTTGTTAGTAAGAACAAATAAAGCTCAGGCTGTGTTGGGTTCCATGTAAATACACTTATAAGAGTGTAAAATAGTTCATGTAAATTATAAAATTGGGTTAGTTTTGCATTGACAAATTTACCTTCTTACCAATCAGACTTAACTGTAATAAATGCAAATATGAATTTCAAAAAAGTATATATATATTTTTTATTAAAAGCCCATTTGAATACAAATTTACTTTTTTTTTATTGATGTACTTTTACATCTTATTATCAATGTAAATATGCATTAATTTGTTATTTGTTAATACATAAATGTAATATTATCAAACATAGGCAAAAGTGAGCCATAATGTAAATTTATCCTAAACCGGGATTTATAACTTAGTTCATTAGAAGTGTAAAATGCGGATCGAATGGAGAGAAAAGTCCGATTAAAACACCATTACCAAACACAGGCAAAACAGAACGAGATTACGAGAATATAGATTTACACGGGTCTGGAGTTTACACCGCAAACAAGTAAGTGCAGCCTTTGAGAACTCCTGTCTCTGCACGTGTATTCTGTCACGAAAACCCGTATATTCAACCGGCCCGCATCTCCGCTGACCTCTCGACGAGAGAGATGCATAACTGGCAACTGGATTGACAGGCATTCACACCCTACTAGGCTATCTTGATTCTTTGAAAATATCCACAAATTTTAAAAATGGTTCACATGGTAACCATTGATTCTTTGAAAGCTTAAACCAAGCAAGCAGACAAGCGGATATGAGATTGTTAAACCCACCTCTCTTTGCTGGCCAGCAATTCATATTTTCCATCCCATGTGCCTTTGGCCAGGTCTCATCGACTCCCAACTCCCAATTGGGGATAAATAAGACATTTAATTTGTGGGTCGTTTCTTTTTCTCGTTTTTTGTCGGCAGAAGTAAAATAGTTTACAAATTCATAGGTAGAAATGGGATCTCTTGTTAACTCTGTTCCTGTTCCTGCTTGGCATCAGACTGCCAAGCCTTGATCAATCACTTGAGCAGCAATATTTTGATCCTGCTGAGGTGTTGTTCATTGTGAAGGATGATATTCTAGTTTCTAGACATTAATTGCTCATGGTTTAGATGTTTCTTTTTTGTTCTTCTTTTCAGGACTGCGTTGTTACTCTTGTTTACTCTGAATCTCTGGTCCTGCTTGCATGGCATCGTTGAATGGTTTTATGTTTGTTTTTCTCGGTCAATAAATAGTTGAATACTCGTTTCTACCAAAATAAATGAAAAAGAATGATTTTGGGGTTGGCAATAAACTAAATAGCGAATCTCATGGATATGGCATGGCAATGCACAAGAAATAACTAAAAATTTAAGTTCTAATAGTAAGAGCCTAGCTAGAATAGAAGAAGGTACCTGTGATTGGAATGAAACCTTTTTGCCTCAGAATCGGATAGGCTATAAACACAAGAAAGGACGAGGGGCTGCTGGTCCGTAATACAACCCTTGGAAGCTTAAGACTGTCAGCCACAGCTTGAGTGAAGTGCATAGTCGCATCAGAGATTAAGCAAGCAATTGGCTCTTCTGACTGCTCATCAGATAATAACCCAGCCAAGCAATCCCGAAATGGTGCTACACAATTCACATTAAGGGCTGTTATAAGCTCTATAACATCATCGGTAGAAGCTTGACCGTCTGAAAAGCCATCAGATATGGGAAGGAAGGTGAAGTTTCGGTAGTTGGAGGAGTTAGGAGAGTTGAAGTGAGTGTGGACGATGGTGATGGAGAAACCTCTGGAGTGGAGGATCGTAGCTAGCTGAAGCATGGGGTTTATGTGGCCTTGCAACGGCAATGGAAATAGAACTAAACCAACGCCCCTTCTCTGTGGCATTTTCACCTCACTGTCCATCAGTTTTCCTGCTTGCTATGGCTATTTCTTGTGAGGCTATATTATATACTGCAATCTCTGGCCACTTTCGGTCCCTCTCCAATCGACGTACGTGATTCTGCTCCAGCCTGCAGGACAGGATTATTATATATGCGACTCAAAAGATATATGTGGTGCGGTGAGTGGTGAGTTGATTAATAATGGTTTAGGGGCATGGGGGCTGAACTGCAATTGGGCGGCCCCATCCGAGATGTAGAACACAAGACCTTTAGAGCCCAGAATATAAGTTTAAGGAAACTCAAACTCACTTGAAGAACCGACACTCATGGGGTGCAATATCTTTCCATTATCAATGGACGGAATATTGGGCCACTTCTAATCCAATCCAATATGGGTCCGTTTGGTTTGTAGTCGGAATGGGAATGATTTATTTCCACAATCTGTTTGGTTGGATAGAAATGGAGATGAGAATTAGAATAAGTAGGAATGAGATTTCATTCTCCAGGGAGGGACAGGGAATGGCCATTCTCTCGAATAGGGGAATGTCTAACCCTATAAAAGGTAGGATTGAATTGAGGATTAGATTGATGTTATGGTAGTGAAATGCCAATCCCACATAATGATGTATACTATGTAACCATATTTTAATGTAACAGTCTTAAATCTCCCCCAACATTTATGCTACTACATGCAAATTGTGACAATTTTTTATAATGATGATAATAGTAAATAATATGCTTTTAAAGTTTTTTTAGATTTTTTATATTTCTATGTTTATAAAAAGTATTCTTATTTGTCAGACATTTTTGCTAATATGATAGATATACAATATTAGAGATGTGCCTAAATGTTTTATATATTTTTTGTATATATATATATATATTTTATTATTATTATTATTATTATTATTATTATTACATCAATGATTGGCACATTTGAACCAAAAGGTTGAATTCTTGACTTTCCACCAAATAGAAGAACAACTCCATTTTTTAGTTGTTTTTAAATTTGTATTTTATTTCTATCATCAATAATATCGATTATTCTATCACACACTTATTTTTCTTTAATATGACTAATTAGTGTAAGATTCAATGAAAGAATGGGACTTAATACTCTTAATATAATACTTAATGTGAGAGAGAGAATTGAATGAGGAGAAATGTAATAATTCAAATTCCATTTGTACCCTCACAATTAGAGAGGGATTCTAGTCAAGAAAAGGATTCAATAAATGTTAATAGAAATTAATACTTTAAATATAAAACTCAATGAGAAGGATTTGAATGAAGAGAAAAGTGGCTATTCAAATTACATTTCTATCCTTACAATTAAAGATGGATCAAATTCAAAAATTGGGATATTTTAGTTAAACAAAAGTTCTACACCATCATTCACACTTTTAAAAGTGTATGAATTGTATAATAAAATTCAATCGGGTGTGGCCATTGGGCCAATCAATGAAATGAGAGATGAGATGGTTATTATTTACTAGAAGAAGGTTGTTTTTAATAATAGAATACAGTAGTGACAACTAGATACATGGTTGCCACGGCTACTATTTTTAGGCTTGAGTATCCGGTGTTTTACTTGATTGTAGGGGTGGATTCGAGCCAAGCTAAATAGTATGAGGCTCGAGCTCGACTCGACAAGGTTGTATAAGGCTCGAGCTTGAGCTTAATTTAAGGAAAAAATATTTTATAAAAATAAAAAATAATATATAAAAAATATTTTTATTTGATATTTAAAAAATTAAGAATTATAGTATTTTTTATTATATATATATTATTTTCTATAATTTATATATATATATATATATATATATATATTCAAGCTCGGCTCATTTATTAATCGAACCTGTTAATTGGGCTTGAGCACGAGCTCGAGCTCGGTTGAAATCGAGCCGAGCCGAGCTTTTCATGAGCTGATCAACTCGTTGCCACCCCTACTTGAGTGTATGAAAAATTGTTGATTGATTAAATGTATGGAAAGAATGAATGAATTGAACTAACATGAATTAATTTTATGATTATAAACTTGTTAAAAAAAAGGGAGGTCTATATCCAGGTTACATTCAGCCTATAGTTTCGTTTGAGAGCAAAGCCAGTTGAATACTCCTATAGGTAAGAGGTAAGAGCAGACCTATAACTATTGCAGCATAAATCTACTTCCAGCAAATATCTTGTGGATTAAAGTATTAAACCAAATAGTTTGAAATCTAAAGATACATATATATGTTTAAGTTCACATCCAGTGCAACAAAAATCTAGAGTCAAAATCTTAGATTCTATAAAAAAATTAAAAATTAAAAAAAAAAGGAAAAGAAAAAAACATATGTATAGCTGATGAGGAGCATTTTGGTCACTCCGCACAATTATCGACATGTGGACGCTATTGGCAACGTAGCGCCCAGCTCAACAAGACAACTCAACAAGCCGGCACGTGGCGATCGACATCAGGTGTGTGGCCGAGCTGAGGTGAGCTCGGCCCGCTGACAATAGTAGCTCACCCCGAAACTGTCCTGTGTGTTGCACCCGCTCGAGTACCATTACCGCGACTATAGAAATAGTTCGCCGAACTGTACACCAAGGACTTGTGGGCGACCTGTAACTGCCGCACGAATCTAGCAATTGGTAGTCCACACACCCTGAACTACGGAAATAGCTCCGTAGAAGACTCAAAAACGTTGCCTGATTGTTACGGTTCAGCACAGGCTTAGCCTTGCCTACGCTTGGCAGGC